AGGAACTGGTGAGGTGAGATAGCTGTGGCTTGTTCTGTCTCTTTAAATAGACTAACAGACAGGAAAAGGAGCCCTCATTCGGGAAGCTGGGACACCGCAGGTGGAAGGGTGAGATTTTGGCTCTGAGCTCTGACCTCTCGGCTTTCTCTTTTGCATTATTTCTGTGTTTCTTATTTAATAAAACAGTTGGTTACATCCATAATGGAGGAAACAGGAAAACAGGATAAACAGTATGTAGATGAGGTAAACTGGAGCAGCACCTAGATTAATAGAAGTGGGTTAATTTAAGTTTTTTTTTTTTTAAAAAAGCTAACTAGAAACAAGGCTAAGCTAGGGCCAAGCATTCATAATTAATAATAAGTCTTTGTGTCATGAATTGGGGGGCTGGAGTCCAAGAAAGCATTTTGGATCCTCCAATGAAGACATGGGAGACTGCTTTTGACAAATGTCACAACTGTCCCTGGGTGGCAAGAACAGGAGGAGGACAAGAAGGGGTGCAGAGACCAAAGTTGGCCACTCAAGTCAGCCAGTTACTGTCATCAAAGCCAGAACTGACATCCTCCCCCATGATGATTGTGTCTTATTAGAAGAAGGAAGTTGTTGTTCACTGGGTCCTTTTCTGCCACGAGTATTTAAAATGCTGCTGCAAGAGTAAATATCACCTCTGGCATATTTGTGCTGAAGAAAGAAGTGTGATTTGGAATACCTAATTGAAATGTGCTATAGGAGATAAGGCAGCTGCAAAGACTGACATTTAATGGTAGGAGACACCATGGAAGACATGAAATATTGCTGTCGCTGCCTCAAAGGCAAAAGCCACTTTCACTGATGGAAATGCCCTACAGCTCAGCCTCCTCCTCCCAGCCCCTGAGCCCCTATCCACACAGGCTAGGCCAAAAGCCTAGGACCTGTAGCCACCCCCATTCTGTGTTAACACTCTCCCATAACCTAAGACCTACAGCCAACCCCATTCTGTATTAACACTCTCCCACAACCTAGGACCTACAGCCATCCCCATTCTGTATTAACACTCTCCCATAGCCTAGGACCTGTAGCCACCCCCATTCTGTATTAACGCTCTCCCACAACCTAGGACCTACAGCCACCCCCATTCTGTGTTAGCACCCTCCCTTTTTGTACTGAGAACACCAAAGGGCAGATAAAAGAGAAGGCAGTCATTCTAGTTCTCTTGGCTCTTCTGTACTCACAAAAGTCTGGGGTCATATTGCTGGATAAGGTCTTCTGTGAAGTCAGATAGGCCAGACAGCAAAGGAAAGGAAAAGATTCATCAGTGCATCTCAGTAAGTCCCGTTGTACGATAGTGTAGAGGAAACATGGCAAGAGATCAAAGCACTTTGCCTGGGCTTAATCACCAGCAAGCCTTGTTCATTAAAACCGGGATATAGTTACTCCTCAACGGGTGGGTCTAGATAATGGTTTTTAAAACAGCAAAACAAAAATTGTGTGTGTATGTGCATGTGCGTGTGCGTGTGTGTGTGTGTGTGTGTGTGTGTGTGTGTGTGTGTATTCATGCACGTGTGCATGTGTTTGCATGTGTGTTTGCATATGAATGTGTTTATTTGCATATAAATATGCACATAAAAGCCAGGGGTCAACTTCTGAGATCATCCCTCAGGAACTATCCACTTTGTATTTTTGTGATAGGGACCTTGGTTTTCTCTCACTGAGACATGGGGCTCATTGATTAGGCCAGGCTAGCTCGCCAGCAAGCTCCAGTGTTCTAATTATTTCTACCTTCCCAGTCCTGGGATACTTGCATGCATTCTCATGCCTGTCATCTTAAGTGGGTTCTGGGACCTGAACTCATGTCCTCAAGTTGTACAGCTAGCACTTTGCTGACTGGGTTTTCTTTCTAGACCCCCAAACACTACTTCATTCCCTTTGTTTTCAGCTTTACAATTGAGACAAGTTGCTGACAAATAATAAGGTCCAGAGTAGTTTAAATTAACTACATTTCACTAAAACTGTTCCTAGCTCTATCCACATAAGGAACTGGTCTAAAAGGATGGATGCTGCCTGTAAGTCACAATTCCTAGTGCAGTCACTGGTCTACCTCACAACTCCCTAGAAGTAATACTGAATGATTTCTGAAACTAGGCCATCAAAGGTCTCTTGGTTTCCATCTATATTTCTAAGAATAGTCCTTCTCATGGTGGGTCTTCCTACAATCTAGCCACAATGTGGTGAGCACTGTGGGCTACATGAAGAGGCCATGTGAAGGTTCTTTCCAGTTGAGTTCTTTCATCATCTGTCAATCATACATGAAAACAAGTACCTTGAACTCAACTTATCACAATGGATTTACAGAATTAAAACACAATAAAAAGCCTGTTGTATTGAGCCACTAAGTTTGGGGCCATGTTTTAAACTACAAAAATTAAACATGATAGAATATATATATATATATATATATATATATATATATATATATATATATATCATGTGTGTGTGTGTGTGTGTGTGTGTGTATGTGTGTGTATTTAAGTGAACAAAAAATTTGTTAAACTGTAGCCTTTCTATAAACCAGTAATAAACATGTTGAGAAAGAGATCACGGAAATCCAGGCATTCACAAGAGCCTCAAAAAATATCTAGGAATAAGCCTAACTCAGTAACTGAAAGATCTCTACAATGAAAATTTTACATCTATGAAAAAAGAGACCGAGAAAGACACTTGAAGAGAGAAAGCCCTCCTATGTTCATGGGTTGTTATAATTAATATTGTAAAAATGATTATCCCACCAATGGCAGTTTAAAGATTCACTACAATACCAACAAAAATCTTCATGATATATTCTTTAGGGAATAGAAAAATATCCTAAATTTCATGTGGAAATGCAAAAGACCCTAGATAGCCAAAGTAATTCAGAGCAAAAGAAGAATGCTAGAAAGATTATTATATCAGATTTCAAGCTATATTACAGAGATATGGTAATAAAAACAATATGGTACTTAGACAAACCTAAACATGTAAACCAATGGAATGAAAAAGAAGACCCAAACATGAGAACACATAACTACAGCCATTTGATATTTGAGAAATATACCAAAAACACACTGGAGAAAACATAGCATCTTTTTTTTTTTTTTTTTTTTTTTGGTTTTTCGAGACAGGGTTTCTCTGTGTAGCTTTGCGCCTTTCCTGGAACTCACTTGGTAGCCCAGGCTGGCCTCGAACTCACAGAGATCCGCCTGCCTCTGCCTCCCGAGTGCTGGGATTAAAGGCGTGCGCCACCACCGCCTGGCTAGCATCTTTAATAAGTAGTGCTGGAAAATTGGATATCCACATCTTCCAGAAATATAACCATATATAGGCTATATGGTTATATCATCATTATAACCATATTATCTGCCCTGCACAAATAACTCCAAATGGATCAAAACCTCCATATGAAATGAGAAAAGAATTTTAAAAGTGGAATGCTGCCAAAGCAGAAATCTAAAGTTTTCTTATCTAGCCATGGAATCAGGCAAGAAGAGAAACTAAAGGACCTGTAGATAAACACATGAGTAAAACTTAGAGTAATGTGGAGGAAAGATGGCATGTGCTATAAAGTAGGACTTTAGAAAGATTGTCACACGCAGTATATGAAATTCACCCTGCATGCTGTGTGGAGCCAGCTAAGAAAATCTCCAGGTAGATTTTCAAAAGTGCTAACTAATTCATCTCCTGATGATAAAGTATGAATGAAGATGAGCTAAGGAGAAGGAATTACCCTGATCTTCGATGAAATTTAAAGCAAGTGTAGGAGTCAGTGTTTGAAAACAGTAATCTTTTTTACTTTCATCTTTTTAGCCAATACAAAGTTGATCAAAACATGGTACAAATGGCATGGAGAAAATTGCTATAAAATGTAGCCTGAAGGATTACATTTTAAAAAATGACCCAAGAAACTTTCTCAAGACCAAATAAAGATGACAGTGGTTCTTTAATGAATTGTTTGGATAGAAAAGTGACTAAGATGTAAAGTCAAATCATATCCAGGCTATTGTAGATGGAGTGACTTGAGAATCACATCACCCCTCCCTGAGAGACTATTGTCAATCAACTCCCTGAGAGACTATTGTCAATCAACAGTTGTTGGAGAAGAGTGTCATTTTCTTCAGTGGTTTAGCCACTGGGAAGTTGCCCTTGCTCCAGTAAATTTCCTGCCACCCATCCTCAGACAAGAAACTCCAATTAAACTCAGTGAACCACACTCCATATGAAGACACGAATGCAGAGGTTAAAAGGTGAGACTGTTGAGGAGGAGGGTTGGGGTAAAGTAATTCATTGTAGAAACAATTAAAACTGACAAACAATGAAAAATTAAAAAGTGCAATCCTAGAGATTTGCTTCTCATAAAAAATTCTATTATGGTCATCTGTTGTTCATTATGCACTACCCCAAAGTGTATGGCTTAAAACAATGGCTCTGTAAACTGGTTGAGTCAACTAGGCAGTTTAAGCTCAGAATTTCTCAAGGTTACAGCCAAGTACAGGAAGGCTGGTGGCAGGTGAAGTGTCAGCTGGGCAAAATATCCAAGATGACTTCTCTACTCATATGCCTCAGACATCCTTTGTTTCCTTATTTCTCCTTGTTGCATCTCATTACCGAAGAACTGTCCATCAAGCTTGGGCTTCTTGTAGCATGGCAATCTCTTAGCAGTTGTCATCTTATGTGGCAACTGGCTTCTGGGAACCAGAAAATAAAACTGCCAGCCTAGTTAAGGACTGCTCCTAAAAATTTCTCAGTATTAAATGAAAACTTTCCATTGGTAAAAGCCATAATAGCGCTATCTAGAGTCAAGAGCAGATACACACACACACACACACACACACACACACACAGGGGGAGGGGTGGCGCTATTCATTTTATCTGCTGATATTGATGCAAGAGTATCAGGGATACAGGGATACATTGCAGGAGAGACCATGGCATGGGCAACTGTAACTGCAGCTGTCCCAGAACAATACATATATTGCAGACTACTACCCTTCTTTTAATGTGCATGTCTCCTTGTATTACAGGAACCATCACGAGGTTCAAAATGAACCAAAAATATCAACATGATTGTCAGAAAAGCTAATGCAATGTCACTCATCAACATAAAGAATTCAAAGCAAGGGAGACAAAAACATCTTCGGAGGCGTATGCTAAAGGGACCACACATGGGAAGGTATTCATGGCTCAGTGACGACTTGAAGAAGGGATGGTGAAAAATTGGAGTATGCTCTTGGGTTGTGTTCAGGATAGCAGAGATGTGGAAATCACATCCTTCCAGAAATGCATCCTCTAAAACACAGCTACTTACATGACAGACAAGTGGGCACCATCTCATCTTCTCCCCCACTTGTCCCTCTCCAGAATCCCCATGGAAATAACCTATAAGGTCCTCCATTGTATGGTTTGAATCTGGATCCAGGTTCCCTACATTGTAAGAATCTACATTTCTATTTTCTTCAAAGGTGTGTATATGATGACCATTGGATCTGATATTTATCAAGGCTGTTATCATTTTCTCATGATCAGTATTATGGTAGATTTTTACTAATATTCTTTGTTAGTCCCAGTCTTCCTTTATCTCCGGGAAGACAGGTTCTCTAGTACCTCATAATGAAAAATAGTTATTGATTTGACAGATGAAAACTTTCAACAGGAAAGACTTGTTATTTTTCTCAGCTTTGGTCATATCAACACATTGTGGAGCTTCTCAATACCTGGTCCCTGGAGGTCTATGATTGTCACAGTTCCAGAGTTCCCCACATTAAACATGTAATGAGTGAAAACAATGTTGTTTTAAGACAGCAAGATTTGGGAGTTAACTTGTTACTGCAGCATAATCTATCTAAAACCAACTAACACAATCACCTTGCTAAAAAACATGTGCCTGGGATGTATCTAATCTTTAATAGACTCGGGCCTCTAAATGAAGGCCTGGTACTATTGTAGCTGGATCTCAGATTAGGAGTGATAGGAGATACTTGTAAGAATCACTGTTTCCTTCTTAAAGCTTTACATGGTATGGAGTCTCCTCTTGGAAGTTACCTTTAACACTCCTCCACCCCAAGTTTCAAGATTAATGTCTCAAGATCTGCCTGCATTCTATACACTGATATAATGGGGGGAGGGGAGAGAAAGTTCTGGGTAAAGAAGCCAAACTTTGCAATAGAAACTGGACATTAGCCTCTGAATGGTTAATAAAAATGGCCACTCTTAATCATCCTCACAGCATATACTCCCCCAGGGGTCTATGGGCCAGCAGGAAACCAGCTTGGAGAGAAAGGTTACACTTCTGTATCTCCAACAAGGGTTTAATTAGAAGTGTTCCTGTTTGCTAAACAAACACTCATGCATTATGAAATTAATCAACCATTCTGCCTAGCAAGGTTAGGACCTGAGTCCTTGGCTGAGAAACACGTGTTTACGGTCTCTGGGAATTCCTTTCCTGGTCCCAGGCAGGAGGTTACCAGAGAAGACAACAAATCAATAGTCTGACATAACTTTCAGACATCAATTCATTGGTGAAGAAAGTCTGCATGTTCACAGATCTGATTTGACTGGAGCATTTTCCTATGGCATATCTATCCTAATGGAAGTGACTCTGGCTAACATAGAAAGATAATAGCTAAGAGAAGGAAAAGCATCGACTCATCCCAATAGAAAGAAAAGGAGTCAACTGTGGCTTTCTGTTCCTAGCTCCAACCCTTCCTTTTGCAACCCATGGCCTCTGATTTGCAGGAAGAACCTTCTAGAAACAATGCAGACAACTCATGTCAGAAAACACTAGATCTTGCCCGAAATAAATTAATGCGAGGCATGCAGAGGTGTTGAGAAAAGGCACTGTCTGCAATCCACAGGATGCTCCCTGGAGACAAATACACAAATAACTATTCCACAAAGGACAGCAACATTAGGTGTCATAGGAGACACATATACCAATTGTGTAGAGAGCACAAAGAAAAGCCAACTGCTCCCCTGCCCCTGTATCCACCAAATCATCATCCTGTCATAAAGAGCCTCAGAGGTACACACAAGATCAAATAAACTCTTTCTAAACTCATTGGAGACCTTTTTAATATATACTTCTAGATATATCAAATGGCAGTGGTCACAGGATGGACAATGTCAAGCACTGTCAAGGATGAGGACAGTTCACACTACATCCTTATGCATGGCTGATGGGAACTAAGGTGGCATAACCCTTCTGGAAAGCAGTCTGGAAGCATCTGAAGCAATTGAGCATGCATATACCATACAACCCAGCAGCACTACTCTTGATAATGTAGCCCTGAGAAGTTCTATCTTGGGCCATGGACCACCCTCCTGGAAATAGCAGAACTGAAGAAGAGTGCTTCATCAGGGGAACCAAGGTAAAGGCATTTCAAAAATGAAATGCTGCACACAGTTAGAAAGAACATACTGAATAAAAGCACAGTAATAAGGAAAGATTGTACAAGTTTAATGCTGAGTGAAAAGTGAGAACTGCATCAAAATAAATCACATTATTGTCAATAGAAATTTTAAATGCATGACAACATGAATATATTACTCATTTTTCAAAAAGAAAATATGCATATTTAAATATGCATATAGACCCTATACTGTAATAATGGATATCCCTGAGAAAGAGGAAACACAAGGTATTATGATTAAGGATAAAGGGGGAAATTTAAATAAAACCTGGGAGGCCTTATATTGCTGACGATGGTGGGTTATAAATGAAAAGGTTTATATTCAGCTTTCTTTACCTAAGGTCAAAAGGTGAAAAGATGTGTTGCCTCATTTGGACAAAATTTGAGATATGTGACTAAACCAAATTCATATACATAGTAAGTTATTTTGATATGAAGGACATGAGCTGATATCAGGAAAGACTCAGTTTAGAATCAGAGCCTTATTTCTAATTAGCTGGGTCTGCATAAATTAAAAAAATAATATATGTGAAACATCGGTACAAAGAAAGCAATGAGAAAATGGTAACCAGTCATAATAGATAACATAATTTATCATGAGTTTCTCATCCCCCTTCTTCTGTAGTTGATATACATTGAAATATTTTACATAGTAAGAAAATCATTGTATGTTTCACATTGGCTTATATATCATTTATTCCCTCCATATAGCCAAAAGATACAGAGGTATTAAATATAATTAACCAATTAAAAATAATAATCCAGTTAGAAACAGATACCCTCCTTCTAAAGGAATCAAAGGGTCATATTGGCAGATAGCTGGGAAGATTTGGTGACTTAACCTGGGCCTAGAACTTTGCTCAGAGACATAAAAACGAGTATAGTGGCAGATTACTGTAACCTGCATTCTTGGGCCCATGCATCACAGAACAGCTAAGACTGTGACCCAACAAAGTCGTCTTACAATATCATAAGGTTGAATATTCCTAATAGTAGACACAGAACTGTGGACTTCAGAGGTCTTGTTTCGTGCTAAAGAAAACAGAGAGGATCTTTTGCGGACACATTCTATTAGTTACTTGGTTTTCATGTTGGACCATTAGGAATCATGCAAGACAATACTTGCCCAGGATTTTGGCTAAGACACAGAATGCCTGAACAAGTGACTTAGAAATAGAGAGTTGGACACTAAATAGGAAAGACAAAGAGAGCTCCGAAGTCACATATTTGGGTCTCTTGCTTTCTGACAACTTCATGAAATTCAGGAGAACTTGATGAGTCTGGGAAGATCAATGGTGAACTTGAGGCCACCTCTCTCCCTCCTATAGTAGTGATGTTTCCAAACTCTAGAACCATACCAGTAGGATCAAGTCTTGCTGGACCAGCTGCTAGCTCTGTAATGCTGGAAAATTGACTTAACATTTCTGTGCCTCATCTTGTCTTGTGTAAGTGAGGGTGGTGGTGCTTATAAAGTCATTGTGTGGATTAAACAAGTTAGTAGTCTTTTAACAATGCACATGGTAAGTGCTGTAAGAGTTATTATGTGAACATGCAATGAAAATAAGTGCCAGGTGCCTTGGGTAAACCTCTGGCAGATGCTGGACTATAACAGACTGTGACTGAATGCTCTAACAAGTACCATGAGTGTAGATTCTTTCTGATGCTTTAAATACCAGCTGTGCAGGAGGCAAAGTGGTCTCCTGTGTACAGTTAGATGCTGGGCCTGTATTCTCACAAAATAGATACATATACTCTTAGCAAATGCTTAAGAGAGATGCAAAATCAGAGCAATGATGGTAATTCCATAGCTTTCATATTAACTGAATGCCTCTGGGTACCTGGCTTGGTATTAGGACCTTCATTCATCTTGGTTCTTATCCCTACGAAATGGAGGTGGGCTTTTCCCTCCATTATATAGATGAGAATACCTAAGCTTGGAGTGGTTGAGTGCCTTGTTCAAGGTCACCCAGCTTACAAACTGAACTGTGAGACTCTTTGGGTTCTTTCCACTCTGTGACACTTCCCCTTTCTCATCAAATTAATAGACTGAGTTTTAAGGTGGGACTCTCCTATAGGTATCTTTTTACCATCACCTGATACGAAAAAAAAAAAACTGATCACAATTCAGCCTTTAAAGCTCTACAAAAATGATCAGGCATTACTAGCATTGAGGAACTTCAAGTTGGTTCTTTCTTTCTTTGTACAGCCAACCTGTGTTCATACAAGGTGCAGTCCTATGAGAGAGTACAGGTGCCATGTCATGTCACCCATCACCTTGAACCTGATCTAATTAAATATCCAATAAGCTTTGTGTAAAATTTCAGTATATGAATTATTATTTGTGGTCATAGTTGATGTGACACACATTGCAAGTGATCATGACACATCAATATGTCCCAGAACCAGGATCCACATGTGTTTGCATAAGGAGCCCAGGTGAGTCCACTCTCAGCTGCACACCTCTTTCTGCATCCGCAAGATGTGGCATTTGATAGTACACCCTTTGAGAGTTTCTTGGAGTTTGATAGATTTTTGGATCTCCAGAGCTCTGGATTAAAATGGAAATGGCATCTATGTTATTCTTATAACTTAATAAGGAATAATTTCCAATTTAGCAACTTCTCAGCATGAGTCACAGAATAGATGTTTGAATGTAGTGGCAGGAAAATGAGAGTAAGGAGAGCAGAAGCTGCCAGGTTGGAGAATGGAAAGACAATGAAAACCTCCAGTCTCTGGATTTGCCCCAGGAAATGGCCATGCCACTTATCCAGTAACCCTCAGTACCAGAAGAGCATTCCCAGGCTATGGGGCAATGCTGACTCTCTCTCAGGAACCGCTCCTTTGAGACTAAAGGAGAGAGCTCATCACATACTCTTCATTGTCATCAAAATTTAACAGCTTTCCATAATAACCAATTGCATTATTCATGGTGTTAAAAGACACATAAAAGAGCTGGGCATAGTGATGTATGCTTGTAACCTCAGAGCTGGGGAGGGGTGGTCTGATCCCTGGGGCTTACTGGCCAGCGAGCCTTACCTTCTTGGCAAGCTTCTGGCTATCTAGAGACCTTATCTCAAAGAACAAAATGCACTGTGTCTGAGGAAAAACACCAAAGGTTGACCTCTGGCATAAGTGCATACACACACACACACACACACACACACACACACACACACACACACACACACACACTTTGTGAGACTTAAACTAAAATCCATGACCTCTGACTTATACCAAGTCCCATACAACATGTTCACCAGCATGAATCAGGGACAGATCTGGGATTCAAAAGTCAACTGGGGCCAGAAGCAAGCTGTTTGGGAGCTGTGGAGGACTGGGGTGGCAGCCATGAGATGAGGAGCCAGAAGGCAAGAATCCCAGCAGAAGGCTTAGGCTCCAGCTCGCCCACAAGCAACCACATAGCCAGTGACACCCCCTTGGTCGTGACTGTGAAGCTAAGTTCAATGCATCCCCCTTTTTTCTCTGTGAGCAGCTTGCTTCTCTCCCCTTTGATGGTTTGCCTAATAAGCCCTTCATTAATTAGAAGGAGACATCAATGTGCCAACAAAATTAGCAGTTTCAATATATCCCCAAAGTATGAGTGTTTCAAAGAAAATGAAGGCTTGGTCACTCCTTGGTTATTTTTACTTCCTACCACCCACCTGCCTTTTGGGCAATCTGTTCCCATCACAGCCTGCTCTTCGTTTCTCCACACACACTGCTTTCTCCCCTCTTCTCTGGTTATTTGTACAACTGATATGCACAGCCTTCCCCTTCTTCCGGTGCTGGCAAATCCCAAGGAGCCTTGATCTACCCTAGTCTCTACCCCATTCTTTCCCCTTCACCTTATTGCCTGGTAGAGAGAGTTAATAAGCCATTTGCTGTGGGCACAACTAATGTGGTGGGTTCTATTTGGACTAAGTATTTCAGGCTAAAATTAAATGAGCTTAAGAAGAAATAGAGAGTGAGGTTTAGATGCATTGGCTGGGATGGGGGTGGGGCGGGATGCATAACATAAGCTAGCAGCACAGGTTACAAGCAGCTCCTGCATTGAATGCTGGGATTTACCACCATTGGAATTTAGTTATTATGAAATCACAAGTGCCCCCCATCATGAGGAAGATTCTTATTATCAAGGCTCCT